AACCTCCACCCATTTGCTTTACTGCAGCTCTCTTCAGACTCTAGAGAAAAGTGGGGTGAATAAACTGCAGCATGACTCAAGTCAAAAATAGGATCCTCTTACTTCCTGACTTAATGCTTCCCCTGCTTCATAGCACCAGTCGATCCTTCTCAAATGCCAGTTGTCACCTATAAAAAAAAATTCAAAACTAATTAGCCAGTAATGCTGTTTTGAAAATAACATTGCAAACCTCTTAATAAGGGGTAAGAGATTCTTTTGCTTTTTTTGTTTGTTGTTAAAAAACAAGCACAATTAAACTTTTTCATTTGACTCAAATAATTGAGGAAAATGCACTTTACTCTTTGCAAGGTACAAAATTTGACTTTCATAACTAAAAAAACCAAGCTCAGAAGGAATCTCATAAATAAACTCCATGGGGAAAAAAAAGAATACCTTGCAGGCTTTTTAAACAACACGAATATCAAAATACCCTGATGCCTGACATTTCTTTGATGAAAACAGCCAGATCACAAATCTCTACACAAGGCCAAATTCAACTGTTCAAAAATGTGTAATATAAAGTAAAGCAATAAAAACAGAGCCATTGTTTCTTGGCAGTAAACCTACGCTACAGGGAAATGAAAAAGGTTAAGTTTATTTCAACATAGTATTAACTACTTCAACTCATACATACAAGTACACAAGAGCACAGTATTTAATTTTCAGTTGGGCTACTCAGTGGATATTCTGACAGTAATGTCTTTCAGGTGAACGTTTATGATTTTCAGGGCATGCCTGAATTTGCAATCATTGCTCCACTGTAACACAAATTCAATATTCAAGGAATGTTTAGAATAAAAGCTGGAAAACAGTGCTCCTGGCTCCTTCCTCACTATCAGCATCAGTGGAAGAGTTGCTCAGCCAGGAAACTGGTGTGTCATGGTAGTGCTGTCTCTATCTCCTCCTTAACCCTCAAGCAAAAGCTTAGTAACACGTACCTGCTACCTCTCAGATTCTCAAACAATGGCCAAACTGTGAGCTCATTTTGAATCATTTGGTTTTGCAAAGCGACCAAAAATTATTTTTTACAGTTAATCTCACGTAGTGCTTCCCACTACAATAGAAAATCTTGTCAAAGCAGCCAAACAATTCCACCTGCACATGCACCCAAGAAAACAGTCAAGCAGTTGTGGATTTTGCTGTATTTTGATTAAATAAAGACTGAAACTGATTTTCAAGAGGAACTGCACAGCCAGCTTCTATCAGAACAAGGCAGTAAGTTTAAAATTCTTTCCTCACATTACAACAACACATCTATCATTTTAACAACAAAATTGCAAGCTTTATGGGCAACAAGAGCTGTCTTAGAAAACTGGAAATCCCTTTTAAGAAAACATTAAATAACAATACAACTAACCTGATAATCCAGCTTTTTCCAGCATTAAATTTAGACACTGTAAAAAAAAACCCAATATATGGTGAGACTTGTCTCAATGCAGAGGCTGGGAAATACAAAGTTTTCAGTAAGTCTACACTATAATTTTCTAAGATAAAAACCAAGTGGCTGATTCCTGGTCAGCTCCTATAATCTTTATAATTATACAGACATGGTGTATTTGAGCTACATACTAAACCTGACAAGTATGGGATTGTTTTCACAGGTAAGAAATTTACTACACTGAGTCAGCTTTCACAAACTGTTTAAAAAAAAAAAAAAAAAAAAAAAAAGGCAACACACTCTCTGATGTCAGTTTGTTGCTTTACCCAAAGAAAATCTGTCCCAGAGTTTGAAGATGCACATTTCAGAAATCAAACCTGCAAACTCAACGCATTCCAGCCACTACTCGTAGATGTCGGCACTCTGTGCCAGAAGCCTGGACTGTCAATACCAAGAACTGCTTCCTTCACACTGGCACAGCTCCTCCTGACACCTCTCACTCAAATTCTGCACATTCAGAGCCGGATGAACTACAAGGACCTGTGTCAGGCTCTGCCATGACTGTGTGTCACGCTGAGGAGTGCTGTGTATAAAAGGAGGGGCTAGCCAGGCCCAAAGCAGTCAACTATGCTCATCCTTGGGGGAAAAAGCAAGGATGTTACTTTACTACTTGGTCAAAGATGAAGGCACTCCTGCCCACTGGCCTTCTGGAGTTGAAGCACTTCCTCTGCCTCAGTATCTCCCGGTGACCAGAAGTGACGCACAGATATAAAGTGAAGCTCTCCAGGAGCAGCAGACCTGGGCCAGGCACGACAAGTTTTTGACTTACCTCTTTGACAGAGGCGGTCTCTTCCACAACTATTTCCATTTCAGAGCTTGCATTTTGGTCAACGATAAAATATAAGAAGAGCTAAAAAAAAAGCAAGTACAATACATGCTCTTTATCAAAGTATATGCACATCAAAGCACAGAAGTTGGACAACCACAAACAGATGAATGATAAACAATTTACCCTTAGTCATAGGAACTATAGTAACAGTTCATGTATATGCTCTTGGCTTCTGCAACTGAAGCAAACGGTGTGAGCCCTCAGGCTGATATGGGTAATTCTCTGCATCACCAAGCATTTTTTCTCCCATGCCATTACAAGGGTAAAAAAAAGAGGACTACATGAAATACTGGGAAATGTAAACAAGGCAGAAAAGTAGCACAAGACTTTCAGTCTCAGCACTACTATACCTGAGTGGAAGTTGGAGCTTTCCCACGGCACAGCCCTAGCAAGCTTCCCATTTTCAGTTCAGCTTCCTTGACAGTATAATCCTCAGGCACTTCAGAGAGGACAAAAACATAGAGAAAAATCATAAACTGCTGCTTCCTGAAAACATCTGCTCTATTATGCTGTTCTTTAGAGTAAGCTAAAGATGTTCAGTGACATTTACAGAACTGGAATTCCACACTGTTGACATCAGATTGGTGAGCCTCCTACGACGAGAGCAAAGCAACGTTTGTAGAAGAGTTCCTCCCCACTGTCTCTTGTATATGGGGAGACACATAGAATTTAGAATTAGACAGTTAGAATTAGAATTTAGGTTGGAAGGCATCTTCATAGGTTTTTTGGTCCAAACCCTCACTCAAAGAAGAACCATCTCTGAACTCAGATCAGTTCCCTCTGGGCTCTTTCCAGTCAAGCCCTGAATACCTCCAGGGCTCTTCCAGCCTTCCAGGGCTTCCCTGTCTATTGTTTGTCCACTCCCAATGTGAATTCCCTTCCCTCCAGGACACCACCTGGAATTTTTCACCAAAACCTGTGTCTGCTGCCTCTGATGCTTTTTATGCGGTCCTCTGAGAATAATCTGGCTCTACCTTCTCTATAGATCCATGTTAAGAAGTTAAAGATGGCAATTATCCCTCCTCTCCCCCAAGCCTCTTCCTCTCAGGCTGGAAGAATTCAGCTTCCCTCTCCTTTCATTTATTCTGGCTCCCTGGGTGCTCCCCTTCGGACTGGCTCGAGTTTGGAAGGGTTTCTTTATCATGCTGGGGAACCCTCAAAATAGACACAATACTCCAGAGGTTGTCTGATGAGCACTGAAAGGAGAGGAATTAACCTCTCCCTGGCTTCCTGGCTGTGTTTTACTAATGCAACATACTAGCAAAATAGCAAAGACACAGAAAATGTTTCCCAGCAGGCACGAAGATGATCTGCTCAGTTTCTCACCTCTGCCCCACCTAAACGAGAGGAGGAACTTCTTTATTTTGAGGGTGACAGAGCACGGAGCAGACTGCCCAGAGAGGTGGTGGAGTCTTCGTCTACTGGAGTCTTTCAAAACCTGCCTGGACACGTTCCTGTGTGACCTACCCTAGGTGATTCTGCTCTGCCAGGAGGATTGGACTAGATGATCTCTAGCAGTCTCTTCCAACACCTAACATTCTGTGATTCAAGTCTAACCTCTAGCTTTGTATTAGTACTGTTAAAATACAGTAAAACTGAAAAAAAAACCCAAAACACAAGCCACACAACTGTTTCAGTTAAGTCTGGAAATAAGTGGAGTTAAGTGTGTGGACGTCTCCCAGTAAAGAAAGAAAGGAAGCTTAAAGTTTCCCAATTGAACTTCTAATAGAACCATGAATAAATAAATTTACCTGGAGAAAGAAGTTTCCCATTTCCACTAACAGGTCTAAGACAGCTGTCATTTGCTGTAACAAAAAGGGCAGCAAAGAGAGACAGACGCATTAAGTCATTCAAATGAGAAGAAATTTGGCTCAGAGCTTCAGACAGGTAACACGTTAAAGATTAATGACAACAACAGGTTTATTTTAGAGGCCTCCTCAAGTTACTGTATTAAAAGTACAATTGAAGAGATTCCTAGAGACTTTGTGAAAAGTTTAGTTTTCATCATTTCAGTGTCACAGATTACGTTCTCTTTGAAGGCAGCTGTTAACCACAATCATTAAAATACTACAAAGCGACCAATTGCTTCCAAAGGTAAAGGGATCAACAAAAAAAATTAAAGAAAGAATACTGGAGTGTTTTAAAGAAAGGAATAAGGTTAAAAAATATTCTTCAATTCTGAGCATAGTACTTTGGTAAGAGACTATGATTATAGCTCCTCAAACAGCTTCTGAAAAAAAAGTGTCGTAAAATGTATTCTAATCAAGTCTTACACTGATCTATTTCATTTAAGCTAGAAAAAAATAATTTTCTTTAGTATTAGATGAATTTTAAGTCCTTTGCACCCTCTTTCCTTCAAAAAGACCTCCTAATAGCAATGGATTTGCTATTTGGAATAGGCTGATGCAAAAAGCAAGAAGCCGCCCAGTAAATTCCAACATTCTCAGATCTAAAAGTAAAGCATCTGGACACTTACCTAGTTCTTCCTCTAGGCGAAGCTCCCGTATTGCTTTCATTTTGATATCTGACATGACCTAAAAGAAATCAATATTACCACCTCCAATACAGAATGCCAGTAACACATCTACTGTTCAAATGTCAGTCCACAAGAGGCAGCCTTCACCTGAAACGCATCACAGTTACGTTCTTATTCCTGTTAACGCTATACACAGCTAAGAAAACATTTCGTTAACATTATCATACCAAATATGATATAATATATAACAAATAAATGGTCTTTAATTTTTTGATTTGACAAACGACTAGTATTTCACAAGTGGTAACACTGTGAGCAAAAGTACGCAGTACTTCCTATTTTCTCTAACGCCAGAGAAGCCCACCCCTCAGGGAAACCCAGCATTATTTCCTATCTTATTTTGAAAGCAAGAAGTAACACTTTCCTCCTCCTTTAGGTTTTGTTTACTGACATAGTCCCAAACATACATTTACAGGATGGTCCAAATGACAATAGTTTCACACTAAAACACGCTAATGTGGACTGCACTGGTTTAAGTTATTACACATCAGAGTATTCCAGTAACGGTAACTGAGTTACACACTACTTTCACCACTGAAAAACATCAGCCCCAAGGCTAAATCCACTCCTCATTAATTAGTCCAAGTGCACCGGCCAAGCGTGGCAGGGACAGCCTGTGTTACATCCCTGAACAATCACGGTTCTTACTGTTTCAATCGTGGCAGTAATTTTAACGTTTTTCTCGTCATCATCCATCCCGCAGAAGCTTTTAACTTGAAGCCAGCTGATGTCATACGTAAAAGCAGTTAAATTGCCGCTTGACACGTTCACAAAGCTGTAAGAATGAGCAGTGCAAGATGGTCAAAAGCAGGAAAGTTACACATTGTTTGGACTAGATCACTACATACTACATAGCCCGCAAAGCGGTAACACCTAGATTATTAATAGTGATGGTATGTCACAGGGCAAGAGTCAGAGGCCTCAGGCAGCATCCAGGCACCTCTGGGCTGGTGAGTAAACCAGTAAAAACCCTCAGTTTGTTAACTGGCTTTCAGTAAGGCCTGAGCTTCTGAAGGCACTCTGGAGACTAAGTCACTTTCTGAGGTTGGATTTAAGGCCTCTAGGAAAAACATTGTAAAAAAAAAATATTGCAAAAGCATGTCTAGTCATAACTCAAGCTTGTGATTCTCTCTCTCTGCTACTGTATATAAACACAGAAACAGTTTTTGGTGAAGAGCCCTCTCACTGGTTGATTCAATCTCAATTTTCAGTACTGTTGCAATCCGGAAGTCAGAATTTACGTAACAAGCACATAGAGTCTCTGGAAGCAGGAACCTAACCTCAAGGATATACACTTGGAAATGAAAGAAGACCAAAAATTTGTCCCTGATAAATTCAGATTCAACTGGGAGATTCAGCAGAACTGCATACTCTTCTGATACTGCTCTGTTCTCTCATCCCACCAAGTCCCTTGGAGAATCACACAACTCAAACCTCAAAAATTCACATTATGCCAAAGATGTGCAGCACACAGGGCACAAGTTGTTCTAAGTTTTTCCCTTCCGAAGTCAAAGGATGTGACAACATCTGAGCTTCAAGAGCAAAGAAATATCTAACAGTTGATACATGCCTCCAAAACTAAAATCAGATTACATTATCTTTATTCAAAAAGCTCAAAGTGACAATTAGTTAAAAGAACATATAGAGCTAGCAAAATTTTGACTAAAAAAATTGTCTTTTTGTTTAATTACACTTGTAATCAATATGATTACCTCTGGTCATGGCTGTCTAAGACAAGTACTGAGCATCCATCCGTGAGACCAACACTTTTAACTGTTTCCTTCATATCTTCTTCAAGAAAAACTTCCCAGTCCTTGGCTTCTTTATCTGGTCCTGACCCATTCTTCAAGATGATTCCTCCTGACGGTGCCAAGGCTCTGCGCAGATCACCCAGTTTTGTGCTGCACGAAAAGACGTGCTGCGATTCTGTAAAATGCTGACCCTTGCCTCCTTCGTTGTACTCCGCTAAACGAAGAACGTTGATGACCACAGGTTCATGAGCAGGGCCTGTCATCACCTTTGTTCCACCGACCTGAGGTAAGGAACACACGATCTATGCAGTGGCGATAAAATACAGGAAAGACTGGACAGCAATAAATGACAGCAATAAAATTATCGAGACAAAAAGATGGACTCTTTCACCTCAATTAGAAATAAAGCATCTTGGACCAAGTGCCTACTGAACAACTCCAACGTGTTGGGAAGAGAAAGCATAATGCTAAGGTCTGTTCCAAGTCTGCAGATACAGTAAATGCACTGGTAACGGTAGCTGGGAAACCAGTGGACACTTGGTGTCCATCAGATTAAGAACAGAGAAATTTAGCCCCTCAGGATATTAAAGAACTACCTAAAAGTGTGACTGAGGCAGATCAGGAGTTAAGATTTTAAAATCTGGCCTTTCTCATATTCAACTCAGAAAAAGTTCCTTGCCAAAAAAAATTTAATCACACAGTAAGCTGGAGTAGTGAAGACCTTACTAAAAGTATAACAACCCTGTTACTAGATGTTTTCTTTTGTTTCTAGATTCTTTTTTTTGATAAATCAGAAAGAAATTTCACGCTTTTTCAAGAAAAATCTTTGAAATGTAAAATTATATTCCATTACGGAAATGCAATAAAATGCTCTGTTACATAACCACTGAGGCAAGTATTTCAAAGTTAAGCAGAAACTTTTATCATTAAAGGAAGATTCAACACTAGAAAAGAAGCACAGCATTTCAGGGAGACTTATTTTATATCCAAGTAGTCACTGACAGGTCTAGAAGGCATATGGTTTTGTTACCTCAGTACAATGAACTGATCTTTTTCCAAGAGGCACCAGATGTTTTCAGAACACACTACCAATGTAACTGGCACTGGGTATCTTACAGGCACTTATCAGTCTGACCACATCACATTCTGCATAGTGTAATTCCGTTTATAATTTTATCAAGCAGCACATTTTACATCACTTAAGGTATACTGATAAGTTGTAAAAACACAGTATCCTAGACGAAGCTGAAGAGGTGTCACAAAACTCAACGTTGTCGTGCTGTGCCAGCAGCACATCTGCAGAACACACCGTCACTTCCAGTAACACGGCTGGAGCGTCTCATCTTTTCAGAACTGATGAGGAGAGAAGGTGTTTGGTTCTTTTACCTCTTTCCCATTCCACACAAAGATGTCTGCTCCATCAGCCAGCCCGATGCCATCCAGCGTCAGCTCATCTCCTGAAAAGGACAAAATCATCAAGTTCTTGCCCCCCACAAAACAGGCAAGCAGGGCCACCCGGTAAACTGAAATATGCTGGTACATTCTAGGCTGGCTCAAGTGTAGAATTATAAAAGCTGCCACATGATCAACACTTACATGAGCTAAGCTATGGCTCACTGCTGTAGCAAAAGCAACACAAGTGGGTACATGTCCCTGCAAAACTGTGACTGAGTAAAAAGGGCCGCAGCACAAAGGTTTCCATTCAATTCCACTTGCGAACAGAAGTTAGCACTTGGTGGCAAAGCTGCCTGAGCAAGATTACCTACATGAGATTTAGCAGCGAATCAACAGATTTAAACCAAAAAGACTGGATTTAATAAATGAGTTCAAGTCAGATTCAGATTTTTTTTTTTAAAAAAAGTCATTAGAAGAACTGCACTAGCATTTGGAGAAATATTTACAGTGGCTATGAGTGCCTCTGTATTCTGATGTCAGCATCGTGGAAAGCTGGGTTATGTTCTCTGAATTTTCTAATGTTCTCTAATTTTCTGAAACTGAATCACAAACAGTATAAAATTTAAAAATGGCTGAAAGGCTTTTGAAGATGAACACCTAGAACAGCGTAACAATACTGAACTCATGATTTTAAAATACTAATGTACTAAGAGTACATTAATATTTTATACATAGTATAAACTAATGTATTCATGCTAGGTTAGACCCAAGTTGAAGACCCAACCTTTGATGTTACCCTGGTTCTCCCCCATCATCTCCTCTACCTATTAGGTAAGTACTACAAAAACAAGCATTCATAAGCAAATCAAGGTCAAAATATAGACTGATAATTTGCCAGCAAATGCTTTAAACTTACAGTAAGACTGAAGATCTTAAGTATTTCACAACAAAGACTACACAACAGAGGTTACACATAAAGGTCTCAAAAGTCTTCATTTCAAGTACAAGAACATCTTAAATAACAGCAGTGGACACGCACCTAAGTTTGAATTTGAAGAGTGTGCAGTAATACACGACGTCAAGACATTTTACCTGTGAAATCCTCAACGTCTGCAGTAAATACACCATATAAATAACACGGAGGCCTTGTATGTAGCAGTCTTACCATCAAGTATCTGGTAAAGATGCAGTCCTGCTGGTAGAGGCTTGGCAATACTGAGAATCATGTCTCCTTCCCAAGACTCCAACATCTAATTGGGAAGAATAAAAACAAACAAAAAGAATGATATAAAACACCGGCAAGCAATGAGTCACAAGCAATGAGCTGTAGTTTTGAGTGAAAGCTGTTACAGCCTGGCTACCAAGCTCACTCGGTGACACTGAGCAAGTCACAGCTATTTATTTCAACAAGGCCAGTAATGGAGGAAACAGTCAAGCATTTCGAACTTGGCCTTTCAGACTAGTCTCCAGAGAGACCAAAACCTTCAGCTGGACACTAGCCAAAGGCTGTGAGGAACGGGAAACGCAAACAGGGTTTCCTGACACCAAGTTCACTTTGATTTAGATATTTGTGAAAAAATATCACACAAATAGTCATATTTCTTTAACACAGTAGAGAACAAATGTAAAGATATCACATTCAATTAAGATAAATACTTATTTTAACCGATTTTCTTTCTTACTCAACTAATCTGATTATTTCCCTTAAGGCCAACTAGCTCCTTGGAATTACAAAGACAAATCTGTCACAGACTGAAACAGTAAGAAGCAGTCTGGAATTCTGCAAAGGGTCAATTCATGCCCATGCATATGCTGCCCAAATACAAATAATTAGCTTGTGAGAGCTTTCAGGTCTACATAGAGCTCCATCAATTTCATGACTTCTTCAGTGCTTCAAGAGCAGACCTCAATTATAATTTTTAGCCCCCTAAAACTATATTTACAGTTGAAAATGTTTCACTGAGATAAAAATTGTGGCATAAACACATTTGTAAATGTTGTGGCTCAAGTAAAAATGAAGTGCTTGAGTTCATTTAATATAGCAAATACCTGGAATACTGATTGTCGGAGGTCTCCTAGTGTTTTTCTTTTATCAATAGTCAAATCCACAACACTTTCTTTCCAAGTAAGCGAAGGATGCAAAGCCCCGTTGTGGAATTTATAACATGAGCTCAAATGGAGATGTAAATCAATGCCATTGTTTGCCGAGTCACATTCCGCTCTTTGAAAGAATAACACAATAATAAACCAGAGAATATAACAGTAACAAATGGCCAGTTTATCTCAGAGATGCTTCTGCACAGTTGTCCTGGAACTGATACCCTCATGGTTAAATTTACTGTCGTGTTCCCCCTCTCCATCAAGGGGTGTGCAAACAGATGCTCAAAGATGACCGTGATTTACACACTGGGCAATACAGAGCTAGCGTAGATAACCTCCACGTGAGCACTATATATACATTCTGTGTGTTTCTATACTTTGCTTCTACCTTTCTAAATGGTGTGACAAGCTTCATCTTTTAGAGATGTGGAGATTGTAGGTTTTCAGGCTGTGTTCCAAATCAGCACTCTGTTGAAACGCAGAGAGAAAAACTGCATGGGAACAGAGTCAGGACACACACAGCCACGCCTTCCTCCTTTATTCCTGTATCCAGTTCTATCAGCTAAACATGGAAGCAAATAAAATATAAAGGAATGAAATCTGCACAGTATAGAGACATTACACAAGACTTGCATCTTCTGTGCATGCCTGTATTTTGATAGCTTCACTGAGAATCAGTTCTCTGTGTTCCTCAGCAGAAAAGATTCAACCCCCCCGAATACCACTAGCTCCTTCCTCTACGTTTATGTCAAAAGATACCATTTATCTGTTGTTTCACAATGAACCAAGCCGCTCCTCCTTCTCCCAATGGAGAACTCCCTCTGTAAACATTATTTTTACGTGCTCCATTCTCCCGCCAGAATTGCACTGCATTTTGCCAAAAGAAGGGAACAATTTTTTACTGTAAGCAAGTTTCCCTTGAAATTCTGTAGAAAGCCTAGTCACGCTAGTAACAGGGAAGCAGGGAACAGCAGAAGGTAGAATCTGGGCACACAAGTTGTGTTCCTCTACAACCCTGAATCATTTTAGTATCTGGCCAGATTCAAGGAGCTTCTTTCATCTTACATCACTTTGGAGATCTGCAGATTAAGAATGCTGTTCAAGAGATGCGTACAGTCACATAAATATACCTCTTTTTCTGTAGTTCAGTATTAGCAGCATTCATTTCATTCAGAAGGTGTTCGGGAATTTGGTACCTTGGATTTCCTCGCGCTGCAACAAATAATATAGGCTAGTTTGGCCTCAGCTGCTTAAAACGTGTTTTGGCAAACAAGAAAAGTGATCAAGATGAGACATTGCAGTATGGAAATCATTGAAAATTCAGAGCAATAATGTTGTATCCTTTCATAACAGAGAAAATTAAACTGGAAGATGACACATAGAACAAACAAGTGCTTTTAGCTCT